TACTTTGACATAGACTTGACCGCAAGTCCGCAAGTGACATCGTTTCAAAGTTATAGGCCGATTAGTGGACTCGTGTCCAGACGCTCCAAGCGCGCTCAGGTGAGCGCTCGGAGTACCCGCCCGTTACCGGCGAAACGGCGTGTCTTAGTAGTTCCAAATGGTGCCGCGATTATCTCTAAACGATGTTTTCAAAATTGGCGGGCGCTGTATTTTAGAAACGGCTCAGTCGATTTAAATGGCGATTAAATTTTCGAGTTAAGTACCTTTTTTTCTAGTCTTGCACGTAGCCGATTTTCAAAAGAATCAAAAATGAATTTTTGGTGCAAGCTTTTATCTCCAATTTTAGGGTACAAAAACGGACTGTTTTTTTTTTCAAAACGCCGCCAAATTTTTATTTTTCAACCAAATCAAAAACGGCTACGTACAAGACTGGGTCATAGAATAACCACAAAAAAATTCGTTGCTCCAGCTCCAGTTGTGTGACCGTCAGACGTCCCGCCCCGCGACGACTCAGACGGGAGGTCTCCTGGGGAACCTGGTGCAGCGGCTACAGGAGACATCCAATCGCGCCAAAAAAAATCTCAATTAAAGAAGACATTTCAATTGACAAAATCATGCATTCCTTTTTTTGAATTGATCGTTATTTACCCTAAAAAAAATTCGTGTAAATTACCTATTTTTCATGCCGCCAGAGTGGACCACCCCCTTATGAAAGACTAAGTGTGGGTTGTGCTTAATAGGCCGGAAATGGGGTAGTTAACCCTACTTTCTTTCGAAAGGCTTCCAAGGGATCGTCTGGAAGCACGCAAACAGCTAAAAAATAAGTTGTGCTGTGCGTAGAGTTGAAATACCGGTAGTAGGTATCAGTTCTATCGATACCAAAACACCGGCAGGCGCATTTGAAAATAGCGGTATTGTCGGTACTGGTCAGTTGAAAAATGCTAAAGCTAAATAATTTCAATTTTAGGTGCTAAATATATGTTTAAAGTATTTGACGTTGATCATGAGTTGATTTGGTGAGCGCGTTCCAGTTGAGGGTTGTTCTTATGATTTTTTTTTTCGATTGCTGCTGATTCGCGTTTACTACGGTTGGTGTGTTGCTCGGTTTACGGTATGGTGCGAGCTTCAAGAATTTGTATGTATTTAAGCATGATTCATTTTGGGGTTAGTTGAGGTTAGAATCTCTCGGTGATTGTGTATGCAGGTGCTTTTATTTTCGTAATAACGCGAAGTGATTTTTCGTATGGTAGATTCACGTTGTGACATGTTCACGGAGAAGGAAAAGAAAGAAGAGCGTTATTAGTGATTGCGGTGGTTCAAGGAAAAATAAATAAAGCATTTCCGAAAACAAGACGCAGCAAAGGCACTAGACCATTCGGATGAGATCTTTTCATTTTATCTATTTATATTCCATTTTTTACTGATTTATCAAATGCTCTATGTTAACAAATAGAGTTTCCTTATCACAACTTTTTCCTTCCTGTGACATCTATGAAGGTAGTATGGGTTCCCTGCACCCTCTTAAGTTGTAGATGTTGGATTAACTTCCTCTCCCTTCCCTTTCGATTGTAAAGATGTGGCCAGGTATATAACAACAATCAATACGAAACTAACGATTTTAAATTGGCTCCCTACTTGACTAGCCTATTGGTCCCAAGCAAACGATTAACGTACCCCATTCTAGTCGAAATTCTAGTACTACGCAATGTTTGTTTGATTCACTATGAAAGTTTGACAGATAAAATGAGGGGTTAGTTAATTTTCCTATGTTTCGAGGGGTGAATCGATTAGCTTGGGACCGAATAGAGTACCACAGCTGAGCCAAAAAGTTGAGCACGTTATTTCGGGACCTTCTAGTCTTAGAGTTACAACACACGATATTGTCTGCAAAATGTATTAGTTGACCATTATATAGCCAACCACGATGTGTACAACCACATATGCTATGCTGTGCTATGCTAAATATATGTTTATGGCCAAAGAGAGCACATAATATGCACAAGAGAGCAAGAAGGATTAGTAATGTCCATTTAAAACCACTGCGTTAATTGCTTATCTTTGAAAGATACGCGTATTTGGTCTACAATGTTCAGACTTATTCAGTATGTTGTACTAATACTCAACTGAATAGTCGAGTATTAGGACAAGACACCGAAGAAGTCTGCACTTTGTAGACGAAGCACGCATATATGTCAATGATAAGCAATTAAGGTAGTGGAGTTAAATGGAAATTACTAATATTTCTCCCTCTTTTAAAACATGTTACTGAAAGTTGTGAAATTTTAAAGTTGGACATTTAAAAATTACCAAAAATCATAGAACATCAAATCAAATGGTATTTTTTTTTTAACTTTTTATTTGCATAGATAAATGTTTGTTTGCATGTAATTTGTTGTAAAATTTTGCACAGAAACTAGAGTTTACAAAACTAGATTTTTTACTTTTAAATTGTTTTCTGTGAAAAATTTCACCAATTAACAAATTACAATCAAACAGATCCAAAGTTGTTAATGTATGACTTTTGTTTATTTTTAAGCATCCATCTCAAAAATTTTACAGTAGTTAGCATTTTTATAAGCTTATTAAGAAATATATTTAAAAAAAATATTGAAGAGGGTAATTTTTCTATTTGTAAAATTTTGCACAGAAAACTCGTTTTAAAGCTTTTTATATCGTTTTCTGTGCAAGATTGTCCAAACAAATGAATGAACATAAAATTAAAAATTTTACCAAAACTTGTTGTTCTATGACTTTTGATAATTTTTAAGTCTCCAACTTGAAAACTTTACAGAAGTTTGCATTTTAGAAAGTTATTAAAATTATCTAAAAAAATACTGGTTGTAATGTCTTGTTATTTAAGTTTTAAACACTGCATTTGATTTTTTTACCGTAATATATGTTTTTTTTTACCGTAATGTACATGTGCTACACGATCTTAATTTTCTACTGGTATTATCAGGCATGGAAAATCATTTGCATTCATTTCGTGCATTCATTTACATTCATTTGCCTCTAACTTTTTTCTTCAGCAGCATTCCGCAAAATTATTTATAGAGCTTTTGTAGGTGTTGTTATTAGCTACAAGTTTTGCTCATAACTCAAATCCGTATCTCTTATGCATGACGAAGCAGAGCGAACAGAAGCCACTACTCTTTTTCAGTTAATGTATTTTACATTCACTGAAAAACAGTAAGAAGTTCTGCCCACTCTAGTTCGTGATGCATAAGAGATACGGATTTGAGTTTTGAGCAAAACTTGTAGCTAATAACAAAACCTACAAAAGCGCCATAAAACATTTGAAAATTTTTTTGCTGTTGAAAAAAAAAAGTTAGAGGCAAATGAATGTAAATGAATGCACGAAATGAATGCAAATGATTTTCCATGCCTGGGTATTATCCAATTTATTTATGTACCCGGCTCTTATTGCTGATGTTATTCCTCCAGCATATGTGCTCTCACCTCTCCTCCCATCATTCTCTGGGGGAGCGGAATATCCGCACAAAAGCAAATAACCGAAAAGCGAAATGCAGAGCTTATCAGCTCAGCTCCGGATCCTGGGAGCTGTTTAGGATGACAACACTCGGACCCGTCCAGCTCTTCGGATATTTTTTTCTCTCTCCATTCTTCACGATTCAGCTTCGGATCCGTATCTGAGCTGATGATCTGGAGCTGATGCCGAGAATAGTGAGAGAAATTCTGCTGGAAAATTAACATCAGAAATAAAATTTGAATTTAGACTGGATTGAACAGGCGTAACATCGTGTGCCACGTTGACAATCATATCATCGCGTGTGACATAGGTGTAGCTCTCTCGCATACATTTTTTGTTTTACTGCTATGTTGTTGGCACATTTTGGTTTACGCGATGGTTGATCAGTTGTTGCGTTAGTAGCGTTTTCCATTGAAAAGTGAAGCCATGTTGTAAAGTACGGATTTATTGGTTTAGACTACTTTTACGATTTTATGCAATTTTAAGCACTAAAACCACTAGTTAATTTTCCGATTATGAATTTGTGTCATAATTTCTATTATTTCAATATGAGCTGAAGAGCTGTTCAAAAGAATCGACTCACTTTAGTGAGCTGGATGGGTTCTATCCACTCAGCCAGATGAGCTGTTTTGCCCACCTCTATTTCTGATGTTGTATGCAGGTGAGTGAGCATTAAATACAAAATTGAACGATTTTTTTATGCTCTTGAAGTCCATGAATTAACCTTGAAGAATGCCTTCAAACTTTGATAAAACTTCTATGTTGCTTGGGAATGTCTATAAATATTTAAACCGATTTTCTTATTTAAAGAAATAGCTAATCCATCTTTCCTACCTGCTTTTGTACAACGATGGAAATCCCATGGCGTTTCAATGCTTCAGGATGGATTTTTACTTTAAATATCGTGATTTTTTGCCGTAGGCTAGTTCATCACGTCGAGCACGTAATTGAAAGTCATAAGACGCATTTGGAATCAAGAAGCGGTGATGTTTCTTAAATAAAACAAGAACAATTTATGACTTTTTATTGAATAAAATAATGCACATGGCAAGGTAAGTGATCTAGAGCTAATCATAGGTAGAAACATTTATTTTTCTGTTCATAAAATCGAGGTGAAGCATGGGTTGCGCTCGGTACGGTGAAAATTATATCAAAACCCAACATTTCATTGTCAAATCTGACAGAGATCACCTCACTAAAGCAATGGTCGATAAACCAATTTTACAAAACCGATATTTTCGGAAAATCTTAAACTGTTCTATAAGTTCTGCTTTTTCTATACGCAAATTTCTAAATATTTTCTTTGTATTAATAGCGATTTTATAAAGAAATAATACACCGAATACAGTGCATAATTATTTAATTTTAAAGCTTAAAGTTAATTTCCCCATACATTTTTAGCTCGATTTTCCACCCATATACGTTCGAAGGCGGTTGGCCCTCTTGTGAAGCAAGAGGATGCACCCAATCTGCAAAACCAAATTCCATTTTTCATCAATACACTACTCACCTTTCTACACTCTTGTTCCTCATCACAACGTTTAACCAGTCGGAGCTAACATCCGGAGCAAATCTATTGAAAAGTAAAAACAAAATAGTTCATTAGCTAACAGTTCAATTGTGACACATTTTGTAGCGAAACTCATTAACCAAAGTAGAAAAATGCTCTAAAGCGCAAAATAAAAAATATAATAAATGCACTCGATTCGATGGAATTGAATTGTTGCTTGTTGCAATCTAAATGGCAATGACAAAAGCGAGTTACGTACCGCTAAATTGGGCATACATCTGAATGGACAATTTTTTGAAACACTTTGAATAGATAGATTTTTGTAATAAAGGCGTTTGTTTGAACAACTTAAAAAATACTTATTTATTGGTGTAGTTTTGGACTTTATTGGCAGCGCCAATACAATTAGAGTATTTTTAGCAAAAACATGCGATTTAAAAAAATCATTGTGGACGGATTTTAGTCAAATTAGCCGCAGATGGATGAACTTTATAATGACTAAAAATTAGCAAGATTTCTAAAAGCTTGGTGCAGTGTATTTCAACAAAATGCAGTTTTTTTTTAGAAAAGGCGTGTTTCTAAAATGGTTCTCAATGTTTACACAGTAATCCAAATAAGCCCAACACTATTCTGATAACTGATCAATGTTTGATGAACCAGTAGCCATACATTTAGATTTCATCTTTTTAAATTGTGATCGTAGGACAGCTGAACGCTCAATTTGAAGATTTACTGTACCTGGATTTGGCTGAACTGTCAATACCGGTAAAGCCATTTGGGATCAAATCTACCGCCAAACTCAACATCCAATGCATCAATGGCCACACACCGTTTGACGATAGATTTTGTGCATTTTAAAGATTTCTATGGCTTTCAATACCAAGGAATTGTTACTTTAATGAATCTTATTTGTTTTTCAACAAACGTATTGTACAACTCAAACCGTAATCAAATCAAGCGCCACGAAAAGCACAAAAAATACAAACACCAACCGAATAAAATGAAAGTGTGATAAACCAATGTAGAGTAATAAAATAAAAATTAACCTGCCAACAGAATTTGACTTATTCGACCTGGATAGGGTGTTGATGCTATCAAGGCTGATTTCCGACATTGGATACACATCGGTATTTGCTAGTTTCTCCAGAGACAGCGCAGCCTTGAGATACTTCAGGTCGAACTTGATGATCGCTGAAAGAGAATATCATCCATTATATTGATAAAAAGAGGCTATATTTTTCAGTCATTTTACATTCTTCCAACGGTCCCAACTTGAGGGCAATGTTGTACAGGATATCAGCAGTCCAGAACTCGGGGATTCGCACAAACATTTTTTTGGCATCGGCCGCCAGATGGAACCCAAGCTTGTGCAGTAGTAACACAAATGGCTGATATGAAAGAACGGTTAGATGCTCTTGATTCCACGGGACCACTGGGATTGATTTCTTTTTCACTGCAAAATCAATAAATATCTTAGAACAAGCCGGCTCGAAAAATATGAAGAGCTTACAAATGCAGTGATAGGAAACTGGTTCCATCTTGACTACGTTGTCCTGTTCGTTCACATCGATTGAATCTTCCAAAGTGCCTCCGAGAAGATTCAGCTTTACGTAGCAACAGTCCAGTAAGCTTTTCTGCAACCAGACTATCATATTGCCCTTGTTTTCTTTCAATAAACGGTCTCGTAAAACCTGTTAAGTCAGAGTTGGATATTCAGTTATGTGTTTCTTGATTGATATAGACTAACGTACCTGAATATCGTCGACAGCCATCGAAGAAGTCCTATTCTCACTATCCCGTTTACCGGAATTTCCCGATGCAACGGACAGCGCTGGCGTCTGTAAGTTTCGTTCGTAGTCTGGGTTCTCCACCTTCATCAAATCGTCGTATTGCGTTAGTGTAATGATATCCTGTTCCCACAGTTGCTCGATAATCGAAACACGTGTCTTCTGTAGGTTTCCATTCTCCTGAAATAGCTTCCATATATCTGCCACCAAGCATTTACTCTGCTTGCACTGCACGTAGTACCATTGAAGCGAGTTCTGCTCTTCCTGGGTCCATGGGCTTAGCAGATTTGCTGACATCAGCTGAGTGCTGATCTCTGGTATGGTGTTCGTCAATGCCAGCGGACTGGGTTGGGGTGTGTTGATGAATTTGTGAATTACGTACTCGATAAGATCCGACCAATCCTGAATTTGGATAGTTACCATTAGTCCATTATAATATTTAGGTAAATCTAATTTGAAGCTACTTACATCGCATATTTCATATTCCGTTTCCCAAATTTGCGAATAAGTCTTAAGTATGCTTGGTTGAAACAGTACATTGATCTGTCCCAAATCGCCACCCACGTGGTGCATCATGGTGAAGATGCAATCATTAACGAAAGCTCCGTTATCGCGGAAATCTTCCAACAGTAGCCCATATTGATGCATAATTTCGACCGTTGCAAACCTGTAATCAATCGGTTTTCAACTGTTTGCCCTTCAGTATAATGTTTAACGTTTCACTTACTGCTTAATATGAGTCAACATGCCCCCGGCGCTGCCGTTTTCGGTATCCCCCGCATTATCCAACAGCAGCAGAAGGATGTGGTTTGTCACTATCAAGTCCTGCAGGTACTGTCGGCTCTGTACGCTCGGATTGTAGCATCGCAGCAGGAGCACGAATAAACACTTCAAATCCTCTGTACGGCTTATCTGAATCTGCAGTAGAGCAAGCTTCTCGCTATCCTCCTACAAAATCGATGCACAAGAAAAAAAATTCAACTATTTGCCTTTAGAAACCAACCGCTCAAGCCCGGTTTACTTACCTTTGTAAGGTGGGTGCTTTTTTTGTAAGTATCAAGTGCTTGCAGAAACTCTCGGATGGCTGTTACGACCTGTGAATGATACGACGAATGGAGAAAAGAATTCAGCACAAGAATAACGAGAGGCACTTCTAATGGGTAATAATCTTTGTATGCAAGAGATGAAACGCTCCCATTAATGATGTTTTGAAAAATATGTTCGCTATTCGAGTAGAAACGCTTAAACTTCGCTAGAAGGGCTTAGACAACTTTTCCATGACTGAGCGGGAAAACTAATTTGCCATATTGCAGGAATCAGATGCATCGAAGAAGGAAAACTGTGCCAACCCTTCAACATGATAATTTACAAAAAACCGAAATTCAGAATAATCCATCAGAAGATGGAGGTAAATTTCACATTTGCATGTGAATCCTAATCCTAATCGATATATTATAACTAAAAGTTACATTTTACATCAACATAAAATTTTCTTCAAGGATCAAACCGTCAAACTACCATTAAAAACAAGTTCTTGTGAATTTTTAAATTGCTCATTCGTCCTGGCGCCAATATAACATCACAATCGATACTGTACAAATCATTCCATTTAAGTTTTCTAAATTGGAAAACCAAAATTGAATGTTCGAAGGTTTGATTGTATCATCAATCAACGTTAATGAAATATCATCAGCTGCAGTTGGTGTTCGACAGGCCCATCTGTGGCAAGTTAATTAAACAAGTTTCGTTTCTCATGGGTTGCGAAATCCCACAAACAACTTCTGTCACGGGAAATTAAATCTGCCATCAAGATACATCTGAAAGATGTGACATCTACTCTTGTTTGAGCGAAAGCTAATTGCAATCATCTGTTGCCATCTGTAAGCACTGTACACCAAAGGCACCTACACTTGTTGAACTTTCGTTAATTTGTTTAGGGCCCCCATTGGTCAGCAGCTTGTTTTTTTAGCTAGTTGAGCGTAGCGCTGGACAATAGAAAAAATAGTAGGGGAAATAGCTCTAATGTTGGCATATGGATCTAAGATTGGGTCCATCGTTAAAAATCTGTTATTTATAAATTTTATCTAGATGAACGCATCATTGGGACGGTACTAATGGATATTTTTGGTCGCTATTGAAAATTCATTCGATTGCTGAATTTATGTATGGGCCCAAATTAGGGGCATTTAGGCCGACATTACATCCATTTTCCCTATCCTAAGTATGCTTGGTTGCTTTTAAAAGCTTTTAAGGAAAAAGAATTAGAAATAGAAATAGAAGTTTAAGAGTATTTAACTTTTTAGTAGCCCATCGTTGTGTCCTTCTTACTACAAAAGAAAAACTACTGGTCACAGAGTAACTAAGTAACCACTGACATGGTTTGATATATAAAAAGACCAACATGGTTTAGATAATCTCGCTGGCATGGAAACATTAGAGACAATAGGAGCACATAACATTTCCAGAATCTCAAGTTATGGAGAAAATCAGATTCCAAACTTTGTTTCTAAAGTACTTTTGAACTAGCTGGAAGTCTACGAATACCAAAAACACCTAATTCCCCCCCCCCCCCCCTCAATATCGGGACCGGATCGGCGTAACTGCTCTGTTATACACAAACCACACAACAACCACTCACCAAATGAATCCTTCTCAGGCACGGCATCAGATCGGTGTGGGGCTCCCGACTCAGCTGTTCCAGCTGTTCGCACAGCATCACGCCTTCGTAGGTCAAATAGCTGACGATTTCGAACGACAGCACACCGTTAACATGCTCCATGTCCAGCTCCAGTTGGGCGGCAAATTTCAAAAAGTACGTCACAAGCCAGAAGAAATGAGACGTATCGATTTGTACTTGCTGCGTTCGGGGGAGGAAATTGGAAATTGTATTATGGATTGAAGATTCAGATTGAAAATGTTTGAACAGCGTCCCATCTACTCACCAGATCGGACAGCAGTTGTGTGTGCAGCTCCTGTACGAGGCAGCCGTACCCTTTGAGCAAGAAGTCCACTGTAAATTCCTTCAAAATATGAGAGATATCATCATCGCTCGGGGCATGATGCATCAGGCCCTTCATGTTGATACTATTTAGAGACATGATAAATTGTTCTACACAAATAAAGACATTCAGGTGATTTGTACGTACATGTTACTCTTGCTTCGCTTGACCAACTTTTTTCGGCGAAGCTCCTTCTTGTTCTGTATGCCAACAGGATGCCGCTGCTTGTTGGCTGCGTTGAAACGCTGCTTCTGATTTGGAGGTGGCTTCTGATGAATGGGTTTCGGATTGGGGCCATCGTCTTCATTACTGGACGTTGATATGGATTCCTTCTCCACTTGGGTCCCGTAGCCACAATCCGAGTTTTCAGACAGTGATACTTGACTTTGGTTTTTTGTGCCATGAGCAGGTGGAGACTTTGCGTCGGAATTTGAAGAAGGGGAATCTGGAGGACTAAGGGGAGATTTGGCAACGACTGTGGTTGTAGGTTTTGCTGTCGTCGCAGAATCCAGAGTTTTGCTCTGCAGATTGGGGCATGCTAACGGGGAAGGGTTCTTCTCCGATTGTATCTGTAATGATGATTGGAAAGTAGGTATGCCATATGTTATATGGATATGGATATGCTAGAACTTACGGAACATTTTTTGACTTCATTAGACTCGTTGATCGATGATGGCGGCTTTGCTGCGTCTTGAGTAGAAGTGGAGTTAGTCCATGGCTGTTTCGCAGAACAACTGTTTTCGTGTCCGGCTTTCATCGACTGGTGGTACATTTGATGGGATTTGATTGCCCTGGCTAGGATAGTCTGAGTTGGGAACTCGGTACCTTTTCTGGTAACCTGGTCGGTTTCCTCTGGGGTATTGCTGATCGACGATGGCATTTTGCCACTTCCTGTCAATGAATCTCTATCAGTGTCATCGTAAAATAAAAACATTTCTCGATAATTACCATTGTCAGAAGAGTCCGAAGTGGGATCCGAAGTAAGCATGGGGCTCGAATCTCCACTACATTGCTGTGGTGGAGATGTATTACTTTCGTTATCATCCGAACTCTCCGTCATGGTTGATTCAAACCAGATATTCAAGAGCTTTTGCAGTGTACTGATGTGCTGGTCTTTGTACATCAGTGCAACCAACTGAGCCATTGTAACGGCCCAGTATGCTCGCTGGGGACATGACATGAGATAAATTAGCAGTTTGTCGACGCTTTGCGTAAACAGGTTCCATATTATCTGATTTTGAAACGATGTGTTATGGCTAGAGCTTGGGTATGGATGTGGACCTGGTCCACCAGCTGCGTTCCCTTCAGGAACGTGTAAGATGTTTCTTAACAAAAGCAAACAATTATTGATGCTGTCGCAATTCTGTATCGAGAGCTTAGAGTCCTTTTCCAGTATACTTTTCATATGATCAATCACAGCCTTTGTGTTGTTCCATTCCACAAACGCTTCCTTACTGGTAATCAACAGCTTGTTCAACTCAAAGACCGTGTGCCGTCCGATTTCCGATCTTGAGATCGACTCTACTGGCAGCAAACATTCGACCGGCACTGTCAGGTTAACCAACAACCGAATCGTTGTATCGATAATCTTTGAATCCTTGGCATTGACCAACAGGGGGACTATGTCGTTCTTGACATTCTGACCAAACCCGATCGCTCGACGAAACGTTCTCAGAGCTGTATCCTCAACGGCCAGCTTGCAGATTATTTCCTCTAGAGTCCTCAAACAATCGTCGTTGACCAGGTAGACATCATCCACGTAGGAACCTAGCGAACCGAACGTGCTGTTGATCTGCGGATTGGCTAGCAGCCATTCCATGCTGCTTCCGTCACGTGGGAGCACACCGGCTAACACGCTTCCCTTATGGACTGCTGCTGCTTCTGCTACAACTGCAGCAAAAGATACTCACTAAACAAAAAAAAAACGTAACAAACTCCTGCTTAGAGGGTTGTCTACTTATTAACCCTCGTTGTCGTTGAATACGTCAGGGAATGGTATTGATTTATTTGCTGATTCACTGTGAGTAAATGTGTACAGGAATGTGCGAACGAATCCATCGAAGTGTTTAGTCTGAAAAATGTCAAAGGAAAAAGAAATTTCTTAGAAAGCGATGCAGAATGGAAATTGTGGTAGACGGTGATAACAGAAACCTATTCAATTTGCAGTTAGGACAGACATATAAGTATACTTGATGTTCGACGCTGAGACGCAAATAAAATATTAACTTTCATTACCAAGAAAACTTTTTCCGCTACCTCTACGCTTTCTGTCACTCCTTTGATTGCCGTGCAACAGTAGACTCTTGGGGCTAATTATTTTATCTAATAAACAGCTGCTGGGCAACTCGCCTTCCATGTTTCATGTTATTTATAAATTTTTTTTTGCTGTTTCGATAAACGGTTCAGAAAGCTTGAAGATACTGGCAAAAGAAAACATATTTAGAGACTAAATTCGGGGAAACCGATGGTGGAAAGTTACCTTTCCGAAAATAAAGGTGCCACCGTTGTAAAGCTATGGAGAGGAAAAAGTCCATCATTGGCTCCAAGTCAGTCGGGTGCTCAGATGATACATAACGAGCATATTATAAAGTCTTCCCAAAATTAATTCTGTCAAGCTACATCGTACTGCGCTTCGTTAAGCTGTCAGCATGTGTTAAATAGCTACAACATGCTCTGAAGGTAGAGGATACAGTGGTTTAGCTTCCGAATAGGAAGGGCCAAGAAGTCCTTATTTAACTTATTCTGAAAGTTATGAATTGGGTTGCTGGTAAAATACTCACAAGAGCAAAAAGTGTGATTATTTTCCATTAAATTCTACTTAGTGGTTTGCATCGATGACAGATGCATATTTCAACTACAATGTGCAGTCTTCATCAGTATTTTTTTTTTTGATCAATGGTAACTGATTTTTTATTTTAAATTTATAAATTGATGATAATATGTGATGAATTTAAATATAAATCCATAATTAGCGAAAGCTCAAGGTATGAATTGTAATTTTAAGAAACTGATTTTTTGGGGATCACATTAATCTGAGCTAAGGGAGGCCCTTATAAGCAGTTGGTAAAGGTGCAGCTACAAAGCAAGATAATACTGAAGATGACTGGGTTCCCTGTCCGGTCTAGGAATTTTTCGGTATGGAAATTTTCTCGATTTTCCTGGGCATAGAGTATGATTGTACTTATACTATTGCAAAAATGGTACAGGCATCGAAAGCTCTCAATTAATAACTATGGAAGTGCATCAAGAACACTAAGTTGAGAGCACGCAATAAGCTAATATGCGATAAGCAATAGGCTTGAATTGTGGAGGAGAAGAAGAAGATTAAGTACCATATTAAAAACCAGTATATAAGGTGAACTATTATAAATAAAAAATGTATTTCTTCAGCAAAGTTGCTTAGAATAAACTGTTCTACAACTTTGTTTAACATTGTGTGGGTTTCTCTTACAAAAACGTTGAAACGTTGTACCCACTAACCTTAGGGACCACTCTAATTTCGATTAGCGTGAGTAAGAGCTTTCAACTAATGATTGGCTTATGCAGTATCAAACTCAATGGTTTAGCAGAAAATGTACTTTTTTCCTTATCTAGGGTTTGCTCCTTCCCGAGAATCGATGATGATGCTTGTTGAAGTATCCAATTTTAGCAATGGGTATACCTTTACTATGATATCTTCGCAGTAAAGACAAGATTGATAGAAGCCATAATCGGTCGCTATCTTGGCTGTTTATCCAAGGATAATCTACCATATCAGCGGCTATTTTTGGATTCTATCAAGAATCATCCATGTCCTTAACTGTTTGTCACCCTTGAAAATATGGGGAGGATTTTTAAATACTATTATTTAGTAATTTTAAATGATTTCATTTCAATGAAAAACGACATTCAAATAAGATCGTCACAAAATTAGCTGGTACAACAAGTAATTTGTCTCTAAATTCTTGCACCCTACTAAAAAACATGTGGTAGGAAACTGTAGATCTCTCCCCTATACCCTATACCAAACTCTACGATCCATTTAAATATTCGAAATGTTGTATGTCTAAAAGTCTACGAGAGGAAAAGGGCTCTGGAATTGCCACAAATGAGTCTACCAGGGTAGCCAGTGAACTGGGAAATCGAAAAAAAAAACCTGGAGAGAGCCGTGAATTCGAAACCACTGTGGAAAAAATCACTTTTAGAAAAACAAATCGAAACCACTTTTAGAAAAACAAATAAGATTTTCAGAAAAAATTCACATAGAAGACCTAATAAATTAATTCTACCAATTTTGAAAAGACATAAGAATTAATTACAGAGATGACACCAAAGTATATCAGAATAAATGCCGAAGGGAGTTTCGTGAAGAACTCTACGAGAGAAATGTCTACCAGTCCCACTCAATTTTTAAGGTTCAGAGTAAAATCGGTGTCTGATGTCTCATGACGATTGTGAAGAAGAATCCAGGATTTGTGACCAATAATAAGCGAATAGGATTTTGAGGGTATTGTTCCAAAAGAATTTTGCGAGCAGTTTTAAGGGAATTGCGGGGATATTTCCAAGCGCAACTCAAAAAGAGTTTTTTGAGAATTTTAAAGAGAATTCTAAGTGAATTTAAGACTGAGGTGAATTGTTTGAGAGTTCTAAGGAAAATTCAAGCGAATTAAAAAAAATTAAAAGTTTCAGTGAATTCTTAGAGAGAAATAATATTAAAATTGATAAAGAATCTTAGGACGAATTTTGAAGAGAATTTCTGTATTGGTATGATAAAACCACAGACAAACAGACATAACACATTGAATATTCTCATCTCTCGCTAAAACATTACCGCCATTGTTGAGTACACTGTGGTGGGTAGTACGCTGAACAGATGGCGGTAGCAACAATCAATACGAAACTAACGATTATAAACTGGCTCACTACTTGACTAGCCTATTGGTCCCAAGCAAATCAATTAACGTATCCCATTCTAGTCAAAATTCTAGTACTACGCAATGTTTGTTTTGATTCGCTATGAAAGTTTGACAGATAAAATGAGGGGTTATTGGTTTTTCCTATGTTTCGAGGGGTGATTCGACAAGCTTGGGACCGAAGATAGTACCAGAGCTGAGCCAAAAAGTTGAGCACTTTTCTTCGGGACCTACTAGTCTTAGAGTAAACGTCAAACGCAAGGGAATTTACTATGCGCTCCACAGGTGGCAGTACTGCCAACTGAGATACTTTCAAATTGACCGTTAAATGCTTGTTCGATGAACAACTTATGAGTGTTATGTCTGTTTGTCTGTGATGAAACGTTCAAGGGATTCCTAGAGATATTCCTAAATTAATTTTATAAGAATGCTGAAAAAAGGTTGGGAAAATGACGACTTCGGGAAAACCTGAACCTATTATCGTCAGGGGGGTAAACAACGTCCTTGAGAGCTCAATTTTGGCATGTGGATACATTATGTTTCAGAGCATCTATTGGTCAAATGTGAGTGCTCTAGAACTTTGTTTACCCCCTGATGATAATAGGTTAAGGTATTGCCGAAGCCGAAATTTCATCTATGTGAAGGGAACTGAATCTAAAGATTCTTAAATTAGATTTCTTTATTGAAAATACTTTCAGACGTGGGATGGTTCATCATTGAATACTGAATTTAAAGGGAATGTTTAAGAACAATCCTATAAAATCCTGCACATAGTTTTGGGTGAAGGTAGTAAGACATTTTTTTAAAATTATTGATTTAACTGATAAGACTCAATTGAATTAACTTAACAGAGCCTAGGATTCTTGTTCACTATACAAAATATGTATAATAAAACTTTGTCTGTGATAAAACTATATTCATAAGGTACGACTTTATCTTCCGCTATCCAATAAGCCTCGTCTTTCAGAACGGGAGCTACATCCAGTGGTTTGATTATATGACAGTATCGCCAACGGGGGGCAGAGTGCTTCCATTATAACAATGGACGCAAAACGTGGTCATCACTCACACATTCATCACGAAACGGTTGCTTTCCAAAGTCGACGACGCATCGACCGAAAGAACTACTAATGAAGAACAATGAGGAGGACCACACAATGATTGCTGCCGAGTAAACAGACGATCGCGTGACACACATCGAGAGTGGTCTGCTTCTGTCGACAGTAAGAAAAATTTGATGAATGTAAAACCAAATTATAAATGCTATTATCTTCTCAGCTCAATCTTATTCAGTTTTATGATGTATTTTAATACATTAATAATAATCGGGAAAATTTCCAAAATTTCGGGAAAATTCAAGAAATCGCTAATAGTTTTTACTTGTGAACATTATTTCTATTAATAGTACAAGTGTTTCATGGTTAAGAATGGTATTCTCTATTTTAGTACATATTTCGGAAATTCTTCTTTTGTCCCAGTCATTTAAATCAAGGCAATTAAATCAAAAATTGTATAAATCCGGAAATCATTTAAATGTTGCAATCGCCTCTGAAAATATAAATTTAATACAAAACATATTTGATCATATTTTTTAGCAGTAAGATAACACAACTCTTTTAAGGTGTTTTGTATGCCGCAAATATGTCCAGATGTTGGAACAAACTGAACACTGAGGTTGACTAGCAGCGTCTGAACACTGAGGTTGCAACATCTGATGGTGGGAATTTCATCGGAATATGTTTTGGGTATTTTTTAAAGAAATAATTAAAAAAAACCTAAATTTTGAGAACTCAACATTTTTTGTGCGTCAAACCAAGCTCGAGATAAAGATGATTTCTTACTTCCGGATACTAACTGAAGCAGAAATTATAACATTGGGTAACACTATTCCTATTTCTGTAGCGTGCAGCAGCATGAACCTGTTCGCCGGAGTAAAAACGGTTGAAATATCTTATCAAGTTAGAGGCTTAGGTATTACACTCGACTCTAACCATGCGTTTCTTGATCACTATATTAACATTATCTATAAAGCAAGCAACATGCTCGGGATTATCAAAAGATTTAGTTTGCTTCAATGATCCTTACACCACAGACAAACAGACGTAACTCTGTGAAAAAGTTTTTCTTGAAAACATAATATCTCAAAACATAGGACCTCAGTAACGACATCTCTTGGGTT